GGCTGCCGCTTCGTGCCGTCCGTGCATTCACTTAGTTGTGGGGAAGCTCTGTGCTGCGCTCGGGGCTGCTCCGCCTCCGCCGCTGCCTCTTTAAAGAGCAGCGTCGCCTCCGCGAAACTGAGCAAGTTTAGTGCCCGGCAGCGTACGTTTTTCCCTTTCTTTACCTCGCCCCCTAATAACGCCCGTCCTGCAGAAACGCGGGGTGCGGGAGGTTGATGCTCCCGGGGTGTAAAAGGAGTTGGGGGGTTGCGCATCGGGACAGTGTCCGGCGCGCGCCCCGTTTGTGGCCGTCAGCCGAGCACCTGGCCGCGGTGGTGCCGGCCGGGGATTTACTGCTGCTGCGTGTGCGTGGAAAAGCAGCCTATAAATGAGGGAAAACGAGTTGGGCTCTGCCTGGCCGTAGGAGACCTGAACGCACTGGAGGAAGTTTTGCTGAAGACCTTCCAGATCTAATCATCTCCGGTGCTGTCAGAGGGATGGTTGAGCAGAGAAAAGTGCAGTCTCCTCTGTGCCTCTGAGCTCGTGAGAAGCTGAAGCGGTGCCCTAACTGCCTGAGGAGCAATCTGTTATCCTGAAGCCACTGACACGTAACCCGAGCGAGAAGAACGATAGCACTTCAGGGGCTGGGAGAGGAGCCAGGCAGGGAGCGCTGTGTTAGCAAGGGTTCACTGTGCGTGTGCCAGGCATCCAGAAACTGACTCAGAACGAATTTCACTTTGTAGGCATTGAAATCAAGGACTTCCCAAGAGAAAGCTTTGTGTAAGGGGACAGTTCCAAAATTTTATTTAGTTGTTTATTGGCAACAGTAAGAAGGCAAGTTGAATGAATATGAGGCGTGCAAGAGTCGGGAGTAATCCCTGTGTCTTGCATAGCTGAAGTGACTTTTAAGCAATGTCTTCAGTCAGTATCTGCAACGAGTGTGGCTCATCGGACATTGGAGGAGACTCTTGCTATGTGTTCAAGGGCTGTTGGGATGACTGTTCTCCAGGATGGATTGTCTCAGCTCGGGGCGGTGGAGGAGCTGGAAGGCCTGGGAACGGAGCCTTGGGATCAGGAACACGCTTCCTCCAGGGATAAGCATTCCTATTGGCTGCCCCAAGGAACTGTTTGAAAGGAATCCAGAGGGTCTGAGACGCAGATGTAGGAGACTTGAAGATGAAGCAGTGGCAAATGATGGTGTCACATTTTGAAGGAACTTTGTCTACAGAGAAAAAGTGTGTTTTCTGTCTAAAAGAAATTGTGCATTTCCCAGTACACGTGGCAGACTGTTTAATGTCTTTCTGCTTATTCTAACCTAGTGAGTTTGTGTGCAGCAGTTCTTCATACAGGCTGTGGAGTTGGAGTTTGAATCCGCAGAGCAGGCAGTAGTGGTGTTCAATTTTATCAGATGTTTGGCGTAGTACAGAATTAGCAGGGTCTGTGGGGAAAGTTTCTCAAACAATCTAAGCAATTTTTAGACTTCTTAAGTAAGTCCTAAGGACCTGGTCCTTGCTCTTGAACCTTGCTTGTCCTGCGTGCCCAGAAGAGACTGTTATTCCAAGGCAAAGTACTACCCTGAACACACTGCTTAATTCTTTGCTTCGGTCCTGCTCGCAATGCAGACAGAAGCCAGTGCTCAGGATGCAGCTGAAGAAAGATGAAGCATTCCAAGGATGGGCACTATACAAGTCTCCCATCGAAGTCTTTCTGTTCCTGGCCTGCACTGTCAAGCAGTGCCCGCTGCATGATCTGCTCAGGGCTTCCTTGCTTTGGAGAGCACTGTACATGGCCAAGGAGAAGACTGGTGCTGCTGTTAGGGATGGGGAGATCCGGAGAAGAGCTCCTAGGTCAGCTTCACCCTGTCTACTAACATTGGATCCAGACACTATCTCTGGCTAATAACACTGTTCAGAAGAATAGATAGCTGAGCCAAGAGTTGTATAGCATATTAGGATCAACTTCAGCTACTTCAGGAAAGAAATTTCCCAACTTCTCCTGTCTGTTTCCATCTTTTACTGCATTGCTTATCTTCACAGTGTGTCCTTCTTGCATGTGGTAAAGGTCTGACTCCAAGGGAATGCCTACACAACATGCAAGGTGGTGGCCTTTTCAAAGGCTGGATGGCATTTTAAATGCTGATGGCATTTAAAGATTATTTAGTTTTTGCTGGCACACAAAGCATTAAGCGTGTGGGACGGGAAAAATGGCAGTAAGGTACCCATAGTGTTTGAATAGGAACTAGTTACTACTGCAGAAAACTTGAGGGAGTCAAGCACTGAAGGATACTACTATTGTTGCACAGTTGGATTGCATGTGTTCGGTTCTCCTTGCTTCTCTGTTTCAAGCATTCAATCACTCTTTTATTTCCTAGAAGAGCAGTAGGATATCATCCAAATTGTGCCTCCTGTCTTTTAGTCTCTCTTCTGCAAATAGAAAGATCAAATTATGTTAGTCTTAACATAGAGCTTAGTAAGCTGTTTTAATGCTGACAGCATTGCCTTTGCTAAACACTAAGCAGCAGTCTAGGCATCAGTGATACTGATTTTTTGTGGAATATCTTTAACCATATCTTATTAGACTTTGTTATGTTATCTTATTCCCTCTGGTCTTTTGCAGAGTTTTAAATAATAAAGTTCTGCAGTTGTATTACTGTCTACTGTATTTTAGCATAAATCCCCTCTCCAGTTACTGGCATTCAAAAATGCAAAATTAAAGGGTGGGTGGGAGAAGTTAAGCTTCTTTCCTTTGGATAATCTTGTTAACAGCATATTCTTAGGAAGTTTTTTTCTTATAACTGATGATGTCTGTCTTGATGATGTAGTGCTTAGCCACTACATAATAACTAGTGTACTGCTGAAATAAAAAAACCTCCTGGAATAATTTGAAGTTCAAAACCACAAGTCTTGTGTGGAGCTTATCAGATAAGCCACAAAAAGTTAAGCTGAAGACATAAAGCAGGATCAAATCCTACAGCAACAGCAAACGAAACCAGTTGCCCTTCAAGGCTTGAATTTGAGCATTGCGTGAGTTGTGCTGCAACACGGGAGGGCCTGGTCTGCTGGGCTCTTTCTAACCCCATCTTTGTTATCACAGTATGTAGGACATGAGAGGAAAACTCCCAAGTCTGAAAACTTTGTCTTCTGCAGATCAGCCATGTTTTTGGGTATTCCTCCTCTCTTCCCCATGATCTGCTTCTCTATAGACTGGGGAGGACCCTTTCTGTAGCTCTAGAGGTGCTAGAGGGCCAGGCAGGTGGCTGTCATCAGGGGCCCTAAATGGCAGGCAGGAAGGTGCAGACTGAGGCCCTGCTGTGTGTGTGGGAGCAGGCAGGATATGCCGTGTCTCCGGATTAGAGGCTGTGGGGAGGTCTCCAACTGCAGTCATCTACAGGCACCAAGCCCCAGCTGTGGCTTATCCTGCACAAGCCCCCAGTCCCTGCAGACTGCTGGGACTCAGGTACTCATTTTACAGGAGTGCAGCAAGTTTGCTTCTGGGATAAAGGTGCCACTGAGACCAGATTGCTTGCGTATTTTTTCTGTATGCGTGAGGAATTTTTTTAGATAGGTGATATTTCCGTGCATGTGTCCCAAGTGTCCATGGGCTTAGGAATACTTACTGTGCAACAGTGTCAGAGCACCTGTGTCTTGTACAGCAAATGCAGCTCCTCTGTGCCTGCCTCTCCTCGGTGGGATCAGCTGGCACACATCTATTTAGGCATGATTGAAGGCAGGTGGGTTCAAAGGTGCACTCAGTGAGGAGTGAGACTTCTCCAAGGGATGGACTGCTCTACCACTTCCAGGAATAGAGAAATTGTTCTAGAAGTTCCTGGAACATGTTAATTATTTCATTAATCAGCTTAGTTAATGAATGAGGCATAAGTGGCTGGAATTTTGGGAAGGAAGACCTTTCCCGGGGAAAGATAGCCTGGAATGATGCATATCCTCACAACTTCTTTTTTTGATGGAATGTATTCAGACTGACTTCTTGGGCTGAAGTCAAACTTACCGATTGAGGATCTGGCTCATAAGGAATGAGTGCTAAGGTAGTGTGATTTAGGAGGATTTATCTTATTTCCTTGGAGCTTTTGAGTTTTACACTTCCGATTAAAAATTTGAGTTTTTTTTTAAATTTATTATTTCTTATATTAAGTGACAATACTAGTGATGCCTTCTTCCCTTGATAAATTATGATTTCTTCCCCTGCTAGACTCTGATAAGTCTAGTCTTATCCTAATGGGAGCCTCTTACTCATAATCATGTGGTTACTTCACTCATCCAGTGCAAACCCTTTAAAATCATCTCCTTGCTGCAATGTCTGTTAAAGGTGGGTGCTGCCAGTTGTCCTATAGCTACTGCCAGATGTAACAAGTGTGCGTTTTGTTTTCTTCTTTGCTTTTCTTTATTTATTTGTTACGTTCTGTTTCCTGCTTCAGGTGGTCTGTTTTGCAGGGCTCATCTGCTTGATGAGAACCTAACCAAGAATCTTGGGGATCACAGCTGGGGAAGGCTTGCAGCAGGGATGGGAGTAGAGGGAGATGAGAGTCAGTGCTCTATTTAAGAGGAAACAATGTTTGGGAAGAAAAATGTTTATCTTTTAAAGGGAGTGCCAAGATTTTTATATATATGTAGTACAATGTTTTATATATTTATTGTACAGTGGTAATGCATTGCCCCACCACTGTGCCAGTAGGATGAAACGGTGAACTTTCCTCATTCACAAGTCTCCCTTTAAGCCATGTAAGCTCTGACAAGGCTAGAACTTACCCACCTCTGCTTCTTTTTGTTTCCTCCTGCTTCTCCCAGAGCACTTTATCAAGACATTGCAAGAATACCACGTGGTCGAACCGTCACGAGTAGATGCGAGTGGACGTTTTCTCTCTTTTAACTTACATCATCACATCTCAAACACAAGGAAGAAGAGAGACCTCAGCAAAAAGGAAAGTGTGGTATACTATAAAATTAATCATGAGGAGAAGGATCTGTTTTTTAACTTGACTGTCCACACGGGATTTCTTTCCCATAACTATGTAGTAGAAAGGAGATGCGGCAACTACGCTAGCGCGAAGATTGCAACTCGCTCAGGAGTTCCTTGCCACTTCATTGGCACGGTGTTGCAGCCAGATTCGGGGAGCGGGACGGCTGCAATCAGCACTTGCAATGGCCTGGTAAGTGACCATGACCTTTTGCTGGACTTCTGGGCTAACTATCATCTCCTTAGAGCTGAGCTAGAGCATTTGTATATGAATGTGTGCTTTAAGAAGCTCAATGGGCCTATCTTGCTGATAAAACTCTCAGAAAGTATCAGGCTACGTCTATGGATATAATCTGCATTTTTGAAAGACAGCGAAATGAATGACCTTTGAAAGTGTGCAGATCAGTGCACTGACCCCTTGTGCCAATGCACCTCTCTGCACAGG